CCATGTCTGGTGTCACTGTATTCAGTTTTCCGCCATCCCTGTTTCGTCATGTTAATTAGGTTCAGTCATGTCTCCCTCCTGTTTGCTATTCCTTGTTTCCCTCCGTGTATTTAAAAGTGGGACTAGGGTTAGGGCACCACACTACCAAAACACTTCTAGTTTAACTCAGGTTCAACTCTTGGACAAGAACAGTACAAGACATATTTTTGGTCTTCAAACAAGGAAACGTCACTGAGAATACATTTAGTTAAAAAAAAGAAAGAAAGAAAGGTAGCACAGGTAGCATCATAACATGTCTATTAATATGTTTTTTGGTTGTTGTTTTCTTTTTTCAAATAAAGATCCCATCAAAGCAAAATGTTACATTTTATTTTATGACAGTTGTGAATATATTGATTAAAAGTGTGCAAAATGATGCAGTAGAGCAATACAACTGTAGAACTGCAGATATCTTTTGTATATACTGTACATCTGAAGTTGAAAAGTGTTCCCTTTTAAATGTGATCACAAATTCTTCTCAACATTGCATCTGGTCTAATATATGAATCAGAAAAACAAAACTAAAACTTTTTTCTGTCTGATCCATCTTGGCAAAGTTTAGCACCTACCATTACATCATCAAGTATTTTGTACTCTCGCCCACCAGTGTCTAAACTCCAGGTGGTCCTGATCTAATCCCTATCAACACTGGGATACCGTTCCGCCAAGACGCGCCATCAGAGTCTAACCACTAAATACCTTTATTTAAATTCTGTACATCATGTTCATTTCATTTTAATGATTTCTCCTTATGTGTGTGTGTGTGTGTGTGTGTGTGTGTGTGTGTGTGTGTGTGTGTGTGTGTGTGTGGAGAGAGAGAGAGAGAGAGAGGCAGCCCATCCAATCCAACACACACATAATGTTATGTGTAATGATGACAAATAACTAAGGCAAAAAATATTCAACACAGGAAGAACGAGAGGTGCAAGCAAAAAAAGCATGGGATTTCATGACACCAGCTGAAATCTATCAGTAATTAGAAAGCAATACTAGCAAACAGCAACTCAGGTAAAAGCAGAGGAGGGGGGCTATGTGTTTACGTGCATAACGAGTGGTGTTGTAACAGCAGGATCATTCACACACACTGTTCTCCTGATTTGGAGGTTCTGGCAGTCTCGTGCAGACCTTTTTACATCCCGAGGGAGTTTACAGTAGTTA